CCCCCCGAGCCCCCGCCACGAAGCTCCGGGGGCCACACGCACGCAGAGCCCCGCGCGCCCGCCCGACGCCTGCCCACGCACCAACCACGCACACGGACTTCAGGGGCAGAGGAACGAGGCTGATTTGCACACTGACCGGCATGTATTTACATATGCAAATGAGGCGCAACTTAATACGCAAATGAGGCAAATATGCAAATGAGGAGCACTTGGATACGCAGAAGGAGCCATCCTGGTTTGCCTTCCTTGCGGTGGGGTTTGCAGGCTTCCGCGGGGCCGGCTCAGTAGTGTCCTCTGCAAAGCACGACCTGGCACCTACCGGCGGCCGTCCCTCACGGCTGTCCCTGGGGCCCCTTCCCGCGGACACCCACCACGCACGCTTCCCAGCCGTGTCCTTCCCGTCCCGAGGCAGCAGAGATAACAGCTGGCTATTTAAAAAGCAATGCTAGTTCCCCACCTTCCTGCAGTCAGAGCAGAGTTTCTCACTCCCCTGCCCCAGGCCTGTCAAGCGGCCATGACATTTCCATCTCTGTTCCCTTCACTGGTAAACAGGGAGTAAGGGCTAGGGGGAGGCTTTACAAAATATGAAGAGGAAACAAGAGGTCTGACAGAACAGAGCCATACCAGAAAAAAAGGGGAACACAGGACACAGCTTTGGGGAGGAGGCATCTCAACACTCACTCCTGCTCCTGCACCTTTTCCACCTTCCCGATTCGCAAGTGCTAGCAAAACTCATCCTTTGGGATTTGCGCGAGATTCCATCATCTCCCCAGCTGAACTGCGAGGGGTCTGACCCACCCTCCTCCCTTCTACACTGCACTCTTTGGCTGTTATCTGCCCCCTCTTCGTCCTCTCTCTTCTCGTGCACCTCTTGCAAAAACCACTTGTGAGGGCCTCCCACTGTTACTTGACCAGAGGGTCCAGCCCCTTGACCAGAAGTCCCCTAACACGCCTCCACCCTGAGCAGCGGCTTCCTCTTCCCACCAGCAGCCCATCGCAACGCGGAAACCAGTGACCGAGAATTCACACCTCCTGTGGCTGGCACTCTGCGACCACGGGCAAGGACAGTCTCCAGAGAAACACGAGGGGCAGGGGGCCGGGCAACAACCGACCAAACGCTCACGGGAGAAAACTTCCAAATTTGCATATGCAAGTAAGAGCCTCACTACATATTTTGAAGAAGGGCTTAAAGGGGCGGGGGGTGAAATTAAAAGCTCTGGGGGACAGGACTTGCTGAATCGCATGTGACACCCCTGACTGCTCCTTTCACCTGGCGGGTACGTGGGCTTCACCTGGAGACTGCAAAAGGCAGCGTTCTGAAACGGGTCGGGATTCCCTCAGAACCCCTCTCAGTCCTCACCGATGGCACCGCATTCCGCAACCCAACTTCTCTGCTACGTTCTCCTTTCTCCAACCTCAGGTCTACCCTCCCAGCTCAGCTCGGCTCTCCCTACCCCAGGGATAACCCTCTCTTTGTACTTGGGAACTCTACTTCTCTTCTTGCTTTTCCTGCGGGTGCGAGAAAGTTCACAGAGCTAAGATCACCCCTCCAGTGTCCCTTTAGCCCCCTGACCTTCACAACATTTACGAAACAACATAACTACAGGCTCCCAGGGTCCACTAGGCTCTCTCACTCCAGTAGCCAATACAACAGATTCACCGGCCACCTTGAAGGGGAAGAGGGGTTGTTAAACGGATTGTTAAACGCAAAATGACGGAGGCAGAGAAAGATGCACTCGAGGATTCAGCCTTCCGAGGTCTTTTCATGGCACCACGGACCCATCTCTCCACCCTCCACAGGGCACCACGCAACACGAAAGAGCTGATCTGATGCGTCCGAGGCCACCAGAGGAGGGAGAGGGCTGTGCTCAATTATCGGTAATAATAATAACAATAATAATAATAAACAAAAGAAGAAAAAGAAGATAAAACAGGACGCAAGGAAGGATTATCTTCGGCAGCATCTTGCGGTGGCTTCTCTGGCAGAGATAGAGAATATATATCTATATACAGGCAAGGCAGGGAGGCTGGGGAGGGTGGTGCTGGCACCATTCACCCCACGTCCCCCTTCCCTCCCGCGTCCTTCACAAAGGACGGGCTATCGAGTCTGTAACTCGCTAGGTGATCAAGTCCCAGTCGAAATCATCGGGGATTTCCTCGTTGGCGCCTGGAGGAGGCCCTGGAGGCCGAGGGACCAGATGGTGAGCTGACCCGAAAACAAGAAAAAAGAAGAGAAAGGAAAGAGAACAGTTAGAATAAAAACTGTCACGCTTTTTCGCAGTGGGCCCTCAGGCAAAAGAACGCCTAAGGGATTCGGGCCTTCTCCCTTCCAACAGTCTAACAAGCAAGAACACCACAGCCATGAACTTCTCCCTGTCAGACAGCACCTGCCAAAGTCTGTAGGTGGTCTGCTGTGAAACTCTCCACAGCAGCTTCTACAGAGGTTAAGTTTCAGCTTCCTCAGCTTTCCCTGCAGCTGACTGCTGAGAGAACACAAAGGACTTCATCAACACAAGCTTCTCATGTAAAGTTGCCTTCAAGCAACCATCCGAGGGTCAGTCTGAGCTAGAAGACTCAGCTATCTGCGAATGGGAAGTGTCTGTGTGACATGAAAGGCACCAGGCCACTGAAATCCTAAGTGGTCTGAGCTAGAAGACTCAGCTGTCTGCGAATGGGGAGTGTCTGTGTGACAGGAAAGGCACCAGGCCACTGAAATCCTAAGTCTTGCCAGCGCTATGGCAGAGCCCTACAGGGAGGGTCCCCTGCACTCCAGGCTCCCTCTCTGCCCTCAGCGCTCCATCCGATTAGCAAGTGCTTTGGGAGAAAGGCACAAAGGGCTTGGGAACCAGTTCTTCAACGTTCCTTGGTGTAACAGGCCTTAATGCCACCCCTTACCTGGGCGGTTATATCCTGGAGAGTCCTGGGTGGAAATCTGGTACATCGGAGATGGCCCGGAGAAGAGATGGGGAGGCTGGGGCTGACCATAGGAGTTCACTGTGAAAGGAAAGCAATGAAAAAAACAAAAACAAAACCCAAACTGTTAAAGTTCTGGCCAGCTGTCTCGGCCTTGACTAGGTGGCAGCTCAGCCACAGAGCAACTCACTCAGACCCATGGGATACTGAGGAGATGTTCAGCTGTTGGGTCCTAACTGCAAGCTATAGCTTGGTCAGGGATCTTGTTCTTGGAACCAGCAGGAGTTTCTCTATTATTGTAAAAGAAGAAAATTTTCATCCAGAAACGCCACAAGCTGGCTCAATATCATCCATGTAGTTCAGTACTAGATGACACACACCATCACAGTTCTGTAAAGACCCCGATATCCTCAGTGCTCGCCTCAGAAAGCATCCTCCTACTCCTCGTCCAGTCAGTATTTCTCCAACATGGGTGCAAGAGCTTTCTTCTTTACAGCTCCTGCCATCTGGAATAGCAATCTTTCTACCTCGCCATTCCTTTCTGTTGGTCACCTACAAAAACCGCCACCCCCTTCTCCTTCTACAGCTCTACCTTTTAAATGTATTTCTGCCTGGAGAGGCTGCCTGT